CGGCCCGCAGCCCACCATCCTCCCGCCTCCCCCAGCCTCCGGAAAAGATGGAATCAGCTCCAAAATTGACACAATTTCCCGCCTTCTGCCTTAAAGAGAAGATGCTGCCGGCCCTTCCCCCATGCTCCCCCGGCTCCGCGCATTCCCTGCCCCTTCTATAATGCAATTACAGGGGCCGGAGCGGGCCGGGATGAGGTCCAGCTTTAAGACTGTGATTTTGCAAAGACGGGATTGAAAAGGTTAGCAGGCAAGCGGGGGGAAGATTTGCAGCTTCCCCAAAGCACCGGCGAGTCGTTACTTCCAGCCAGCGGAGCTGCTGGGATGCTGCCAGGCGGAGGCGGAACAAAAGGCCACGATGTCTCTAAAAAGGGGGACCAGGGGCAGTGTCCCCCCTCCTGGGGACTATTCTAGCCCTTTTGAATGAGATGGAGCCGAGACCAGTAATTATTTCACTCTGCCCGTCCTGCCGCCCCGTGCCTCCAAACATGCCGGGAAGGATATTTTGAGAAATTCCTTGGTAAGGTTATTGTGCCTATTTGTCGGATCCCTGTGCCCCTGCAGCCGGCCACAGCATGTGCTCAGCTGCGCAGGAAGCAGATGGAGAGAGAAAAATTAAATATACGTAGCACCTGCTAAATTACCTAAAATAGCATTTCTATACATAACGCTGTGATGATGAAAATCCTGATATTCTGGGGGTTTCCAGAATGAGAAATGTGCCCCGTCGCTACAATAGTTCCCTTTCTTCATAAAAGACTCCCCAGCTTTTGTCCCATCTGGCAGGATCTGGATGGCTCACACTTCAAGGGCCATGACAAATGCAGATAAAGGGATTATTAGCCCAAGGTGGTCAATAAAGGAAGGAAACATTCAGCTGAAGAGGGCTACGTGATCTAGAAGGAAGCCCAGATACTGAAGCTGCCGAGATTTGGGTTGTTAACAGACAAAAGGGTGAACCCTGCAAGCAGGAGTGCTCACAGGCGTCGTGCACAGCACAGGGGACCAGCTCTGTAGTCTCCTGGCTGTGGATGGGGACTTGGGGTGGGACTTGGACACATCACTACAAAACCTTCCACTTCCAGTCTCAGGATCTGCTCAGCTCTGCAGGAAGAGGGGAAAGGACAGCAGTTATCCAGGGACAGCTCCTGCCTGGCCCAGCACCCCAAATCCACTCCAAAATTAAACCACGGGGCTGCAGCGCACGTTCACAGCACAGCCAGGCTCAGAGCAGCCTCGTAATGCTTTAAAGCAGCGTTTTCCCTGCAGCGTTTGATGGGAAACTGCAGTCATAGAATCACAGAATTATTTAGGTTGGAAAAGACCTTTAAGGTCATCAAGTCCAACTGTAAACCTAACACTGCCAAGTCCACCGCTAAACCATGCCCCTAAGTGCTACTAAATCCCTCCAGGGATGAGAACTCCACCACTTCCCTGGGCAGTCTGTTCCAATGCTTGACTACCCTTTGGGTGAAGAAATTTTTCCTGATACCCAGTCTAAACCTCCCCTGGTGCAACTTAAGGCCACTTCCTCTCATTCTATCGCTGGTTACCTGGGAGAAGAGACCAACATCCACCTCACCACAACCCCCTTTCAGGTAGTTGTAGAGAGCAATAAGGTCTCCCCTCAGCCTCTTCTTCTCCAGACTGAACAAGCCCAGTTCCCTCAGCCGCTGCTCATCAGTCTTGTGCTCTAGCCCCTTCACCACCTTCGTTGCTCTTCTTTGGACATGCTCGAGCACCTCAAAGCCATGAGCCTCTGAGTGGTCTTCAAACTTTCCTGTTTCAAGACCCACTAGGGCAACACCAAACCTGGGATGCAACCATCTGGCCCTTGCTGTGGTTCCCTCTGAGGTGTTTGTTGAGCAAAAGACACACAAACAGGCTGGGGGCTGGGGTGGGCTGCATCATTGGGCATGAACAACCACCTCACTCCCCAAAAAGGCAACATCTCTCCCAGGCTCCCCAGGACTTGCCAAAGCTGGTGATTTGAGCTCTGCAGATCCAGAGGCTTTGGCAGGGGGAAAATCCCCCCTTCAGAGCAGAGTCCCTTTACTAGCCCAACTCCTTCACTCAGGGGTCCACAGCCCACACTAAAGCGCAGCGGCTTGCAATCTTAGGAGAGCACTGTGTCACTTAGATTATTGCTGTTCCTACAAAATGATGACCTCAACGGGATTTCCAGAGCGTGCTCTGATTTTTCAGGTTGCTGGGCTTCACTCACATCTTCCCGAGGCTCCAGGGTGTCAGCTGAGAGCAGCTCCACGCCCTCAAGCAACGCTCAAGCGTCTGAACAGGCAGACGAATGCAAACCAGCCAGAAGCAGCACTAATTTTAGCCCTAAAGACTGTTGCACCTCTTATGATTCACCTGCAAAATATGTAGAACCTCACCTGGCAAAGCAAATACCACTGTTAGGTTCAACCCTTGAGTGCATTTGGGATGGAAACCTGAGGATTACAGTTATTTCCTCAACTTCCCAGGGTGGCAGTTATTTCTGCTGCTCCTCTTGCCCCTGTCAAAGAGAAGCTGAGGGTGGGAAGCCTGTGCAGCTCAGAAGTGCCAGCAGTCACTCCCTGGGCTCCTGGCCCTCCCCGAGCTGCACTGACACCAGCTGCAGTGCATGTCCCACTAGCTGCACGTTCTCCAGGTGACACTGTCCTTCCAACTGTCTCCTTTTCCCTTTTTCAGCCTGTTTCCCCCACACTGCCCATCCACTCCTTCAGTTACCCCCAACTTCTGGAAGTTCTTGAGCGGTTTCAACCAGATCTGATGGCCAGGTGGGAGTTTCTGATACGCTACTCTTCTACTACTTGCATGAAACTCAACAGAGGAAGACCCTCATTGCCATTTCCCTGCTAGGGAAAGGCTCAGTTCCCAGCCATGCTTGACCCACTAGCTTGCCTGTCACTGCCCATCATCACACAGGTGGATGGAAATTGTAAAAGCTGCTTGTTCTGCTGCTGCTTCAGTGCTGGGCACAGCCCGGGCTGCTATGTGGGATGACAGTGGTGCTGGGGAGGGGCTCAGAGAAAGCAGAACGTTGGACACATGGTGGGGAACAGAGAAGAGGAGCATTGGGAGATCCTCACTGCATGGTGCACAGGAGGGCAGCAAGAACAGAAATTGTAGTGGGAAACACGAGGGACCTTGACAGGCTGGAGGAGTGGGCCCACATGAACCTCAGGAAGTTCAACAAGGCCAAGGGCAAGATCTTGCACCTGGGTCGGGGCAATCCCCAGTTTCAGTGCAGGCTGGGTGCTGAAGGGATTGAGAGCAGCCCTCACAAGAAGGGCTTGGAAGATTTGGGTGGGTGGAAAATGGAACATGAGCTGCCAATGTGCGCTCGCAGCCCAGAGAGCCAGTTGCGTCCTGGGCTGCATCACCAGCAGGTCAAGGGAGGTGATTCTATCCCTCTGCTCCATTCTCATGAGACCCTGCCCTGGGGCACTGCGTCCAGCTCTGGCAGACCCAGTACAAGACAGCAGCAAGAACAGAAATTGTAGTGGGAAACACGAGGGACCTTGACAGGCTGGAGGAGTGGGCCCACATGAACCTCAGGAAGTTCAACAAGGCCAAGGGCAAGATCTTGCACCTGGGTCGGGGCAATCCCCAGTTTCAGTGCAGGCTGGGTGCTGAAGGGATTGAGAGCAGCCCTCACAAGAAGGGCTTGGAAGATTTGGGTGGGGGGAAAATGGAACATGAGCTGCCAATGTGCGCTCGCAGCCCAGAGAGCCAGTTGCGTCCTGGGCTGCATCACCAGCAGGTCAAGGGAGGTGATTCTATCCCTCTGCTCCATTCTCATGAGACCCTGCCCTGGGGCACTGCGTCCAGCTCTGGCAGCCCCAGTACAAGACAGACATGGACCTGTTAGAGCAGGTCCGGAGGCAGCCATGGAAACGGTCCGAGGGCTGGAACAGCTCTGCTATGAGGAGAGGCTGAGAGAGCTGGGGTTGTTCAGCCCGGACAACAGAAGATGCAGGGAGACCTTACTGCAGCCTTTGAATATGTAAAGAGGGCTTCTGAGAGAGATGAAGACAGACGTGTTACCAGGGCCTGTCGTGACAGGACAGGGGGAAATGGTTTTAAACTGAAAGAGGGTAGGTTTAGATTGCACATAAGAAAGAAATTCTTTACTGTGGTGGTGATGAGACACTGGAACAGGTTGCCCAGAGAAGTTCTGAATGCCCCATCCCTGGAAGTGTTCCTGGTGAGATTGACTGGGCTCTGAGCAACCTGATTGGTGAAGGATGTCCCTGCCCATGGCAGAGGGGTTGGACTGGATGATCTTTGAAGGTCCCTTCCAACTGAGACTGTTCTGTGAATCTGTGAGTCCGTGAAAAGTTACCGGAAGAGCCGGTATCAGTGGGGCATGAGAGGGACGGAAGGGTCACAGTCACAGGGACCCAGCTCTGCAACCCAGGGGTAGCACTGGAGGGGAGGGAGAGGACTGCTGCGGGCTGCAGCTTGGCCAACACCTCTGCCCAGCATGTGCCTGTTTTCACACATTTTCAATGAAAGAGCGAATCGAAGGTAAATCCCTCAGTGTTCACCCGCTGGTACACCTGTGCATGCGCTTTATAGCACGTGCTGCCGTGTCCGCTATGACATTACACAAACTTGCAGCATAAATTCCTAGGGGGTTACGACACCCGCAAACACCCCCATGGCTGCTGGGTTAGCAAGTATTTTTTTAGGAAGGAGGTGGTAAAGCCTGCATCTGTGGCCAGTTGTCTTTCTGCTGTGCATCCGCCTCCGTGCCACATAAGCCCATGACCGGCCGCGTCTCCCTCTGTCTCTGTCCTCAGCCCCAGCTGCTGCATGCTATGGGATGTCCCACCCAGAAGTGCACATATGGGGTGCCCTTGGCGGGAGCATGTCCCAGTACCCCAAGGGGTGCTTCTGTCATGCAGGACCTCCTGACCACCGCAAAAACACACCAGAAGCCCCCCAAGCTGCACCCACCCTTTGGCAGTACGTGTATGTTCTGAGCCCCAATAACGCTGCTGAGAGCTTTAAGGATTATTGTCGAGACACCTTTTTTCCCCTCCCTGTCCCCCACCACACACAGGCAGGGGGCCGATAGTCCTGCAGGCCCAACTCTTAAGAGCTCTTGCATGAAAACAAAACAAAGAATGAAAAAATCCTCTTTTCCTTCACGGCTCTCCCAGGGGCACTGCTGCAGTGTTTCCACTGTCAGCCCCAAACCCCTTCTGCTGCACTCCTCTTCCTCCCTCTGCGCAGGCCGGGGGACGACGGCCGGGGTCAGACAGGGCAGCCGTGATGGTGTTTAAGCGAAGTGAACATCACTACTGGCCGCGTTTGGGCTGGGAGGGGGAGCCTGGCTCACAACAGCATTGGAAAGCATTAACGCAGGGAGATTCAGGATCGGAGAAAATAAATGGAGGGGGTGCGTGAAATAGCACTCTGTATCTTCTTTGCACGCTTTGCTCCTCCCTCCCCTGGAGTGACCAGGGATTCTCACGCTGCTCCCCACCTCCTTGTGAGTCCCCCACCATGGTCTCTCAGGTGCCTCCCGCCTGGGATCTCCTTTGAGCCTGCCCACTCGCCCGAGACTGTCCCCGCTGCTCCCACGAGCCACCCAGGACATACCTGCTCTTCCCAGCCCCGGACGTCTCACCCTCCCATGCCCACCTGTGAGCCACCCAGAGCCCTCCCCACTCCTCCAGGAAGGAAATCCTGATTTGAGCCCAGTGTTTTCCTGAATAAACCATCACACAGAGACCAAAACAAAGAGCTACCGGAGTCAGGCAAGTACCATGAACATGCCCGGTCTCTGTTCCCTTGGCAACTAGTGAAAAAGCAAGAAGATGGGTCCCTGGGACCAGTCCCAGCCCCTGTGTTCTCCCCCCATATGCCGCCCCCCCATCCCCGGGATACTCCACACTGATGATCCCAGAGGGATGTCCTGCAACACTACCGGACTGTACGTCTGCTTCACTTTGGACAATTCATTGCTGTAATCTCCACTACAGCCACTGATCTGATTTGTCTGGGAACAGCATCTGCTGCTCGCTATCATTCTGTATTCATTTACATTTGCCCAGAGACAGCACGGGTGCTTTTTTTTTTTTTTTAGCAAACAAAACACAAACGTCATTAAATGAATTAATCTATTCTCCTCTTTCTCCGAAACAAGATTAATTGAGAATCTCTCTACTCAAGTCTGACTCTCTACCACATTTTCAGAGGATATTGTCTGAGCTCTTATTTCCTGAGCATGTGCACCAGAGCTCTCCTGTGTTTCAGAACAAAGAACAAATTCTCTTTGTTGTCCTGTAACAGTGCTCTGAACACAGCGATATACGAGATCGAGAGACGGTCCCTGCCTTATTGAGCTTACCCTGAGCTTTGCCTGGTTCCAGGTGCTCGGAGACATGTGGAATTTTTTTCAGTGGGCTGAGAAAAGACAGGATTGCTCCCTTTCCAACTCCCATGAAGACAGCAAAGGGGTGGGGGGGGGAATCAGACCATGGGTTTAAGTCAGCTTTCTGACTTTGGGTTCATGCCGGACTCCCTCTGGAATCCGTTCAAACCACTAGCCTAAGCTGCCTTGTCTTGATTGCTATTTAATTTGGGTTAGACAAATGCAGTTAAGAGCACATCCCTTCTTTTTCTTTTCAGCTAAGAGGTGGCCTGTGTTCCCCAAACACTGAGCAGAGCCCCACAGTTCGGAGAGCTCACGGTGCTGGAGATGTTTGCCTGTCAGCACGAGACAGTTGTACGTGAGCTAACATTGGTGAAAGTAAGAGCAGGCAGGGCTCAGGCAGCTGCCCTTGCACTCTCTTTAATACCAGAGCCTGGGGAATTCACATAGCAGACATCAAAACACTGGGAAAAGCATGGGAAGAGCACAAAGGGGAGCAGACTGCTCTCCAGGATTTGCCTGTTTGATCACCAGAGAGATGGGGGCTGCGCAACTGAAGATATGATAGCACTTTCTATTTCCATCCTTTAGTATTGTAACCTCTCTTGATTTAACTTAAAACAGGATAAAAGAAACAGAAGAAAAAAAAATCAGCAAGTTATTTCATTGCAAATGTGGAATCTGCACATGGGCAGGTGGGGAAAAGCCGCAGGAATTAAAATACACTGAGTTATTTCAGTACCAGCCTGTGCTCGGGCAAAGCCCCTCTCCAAACCCGGGGGTCAGCCTGGGCAGCCCGTGCCATGGGAACCCCTGCCACAACAGGCACTGACACGAGCCGCTAGCGGCTATTTCAGGGACTTCCCTGGGCACCCAGGTCACAGATCATCACGGGTAACATCATGGCTCGTGCACATGAACCAACATGTCATGCTAGTTCTGCTCCCCCGGAACAAGGTGTGAGGCTGTCTTTCCTCCTGCCCTCTCCCTTCCCACCCCACACACTGCTGCTCCCACTTAGGCACTGGGAAGGGGCTGGAGTTTGTAAAGAGCTCCAGGCAGAGGCTGGGCACTGGGGTGAAGGTCACTGTCCCATGACCTGAGAAAAGGTCCCTGTCACTGAGCTAAGTAGGTCTGGACTGCATCAGTTCTGTGCCTTGAAGAGCCCCAGCACGATGCTAGAAGAGGGAGCGATAGAACTTGCTCTGATGGGGCTCATTTACTCACTTCTCGTAACAAAACTGTTACAGCAGCTCTGGTGTACTTCTGTATTAACAGGGCTTTGTTAATTGTCATTTGAACTAGAGCGTAAATAGTTAGAAAGATTCTTCTTGATTAAAATGTTCTCAGTGATGGGGAATTCAACAGACCTCCACGAAAACTGTCCCTGTGATAGCCTTGTTTTAAAGTCCATGGCTGGCTTCTAGTAGGAATGCTTTATCTACTTTACATCAAACCCTCACTCCATTTTAGCTTTGTCAGCTAGAAAGCCCAGTAACAAAGTTTAATCGCTGCAACAGGTTGGCTATAGCAGTCTCTTAATTTTCTGTTAAGCTAAATCATCAAGCCAGACCCAGGGAAAGACTCAGACACAACCAGCTGCTGCAGATGTTTAACTGCAAGCTCTGACACCAAAATCCAGGACCCAATGCTCCCTCTGGCACCATTTAAACCTCCATGGGAGCTGCCCAAGTGGCAACCAGGAATGACAAAGCACAGTGGCCTAAGCTCCTCTTTTCCGCAGGGATATGGTGCCTGACCCAGCTAGCCAGGGAAGCACATCATCCAAATTTACTCCTGAGTATGCCCCCAAAGATATAATCTTTTCACGTATAAATTATCCTGGAGTGAGTCTCCTCATACACAATAACCTCTGGTTGGGGTATTCATGGAGGAAGGTGGACTCCCAGTTTAAGCCCTTTATTACCCTGATGGTACTCAAGGAAGTTCACCCTCTGAAGAGGATCCCTGCCCCTGCTTACGAACCAGGAGGGAAGATGGGAGAGGTGAAGGGCACCTGCTCAGCATTTTCTTGTCAACACCTTCTCACTGTGGACCAAGAAAACCAAACTTTGTTGGGCCAGAGGCAAGAGAGCACACAGTCAAGTGAGGGGTACTCACTTGGGAGGCAGGTCTCTGCTCTGCTGCCAGGGCCTCTTATCTTTTTGGCATCACACACAAATTGGCAAAAACTAAAACGTGATTCTGACAGCAAGACCAGACCTTAGGAGACATCCTTCCTGTGAGTCTCTTGACCCATGGGGTTTAACTTCTTCTTCCTTAGCCTCCCTCTGCCCAGTTGCGCAGCTCCAGTGGGAAGCGTGCAGAAGGCTCCTCACCTGCATGAACTGATGAACCACCCCCTGTTGGTGATGGCACTTCCCAAATAATGCAAAAAAGGTTTCAAACTCCCCAACAAATGAAGTTGGATCTGGGGGTCCCAACTGTGATCCAGCCAGACTAGCCCACAGGAGAAAGGACATACAGTGGCATTTCATGGAGACCCTGTTCCTGC